CAGACTAGAAGAATTCAGGAAAGAGGAACTCAGAGAGTGAGTCACCAGGGAGATGCCATGTAGTTGCCAAGGAAGAAAGAGTCTTGGGCATTCTCCAGTAAGCTAAGACCACATGGAGATGCATATATTAATGTAAATGAGTTAATAATTAAGAGAAAGCTAGCAAATAAGAAGTTTGAGCCATTAGCCAAACAGTTATAATTAATATAAGCCTCTGTGTGTTTCTTGGGACTAAAGAGCTACAGGACTAGGTGGGACAGAAACGTCTGTCCACAGACAAAGCTTAACTCTGGTCATTACAGGATGTCTTGCACTATTGCATTGCCCTAGGGAAAGGGTGTAGCAGACTTAATCAGGTGATCTCAACAGCTAGTCATGCTTACATAAATTTTTTCTAGCCTGATGTACTTGTTTGTACAAAGGCTAAGCATTGGGAGAGGGAGATGGATCCACACTGAGTACCCTAGTATAGGATTATTTATATATATATATTATAATTATATAAATGTATGTATTACAATAATATAAATGAGGCTATTATTACATCCTATGAATCAATATAAAATCTTCATTATATTCTGATTGTCTTATCTGTCTTTATCATTTCAGAAAAATAAGCATAATTCCATCAAATGGCATCTACATCTGGTTTCTTATAATTCTAAGTCTTTTTGTTTTTGCTTTTGTTTTTTTGTTTTTTTGTTTTTTTTTTTTGAGGCAGGGTTTCTCTGTGGCTTTGGAGGCTGTCCTGGAACTAGGTCCTGTAGACCAGGCTGGTCTCGAACTCACAGAGATACACCTGCCTCTGCCTCCTGAGTGCTGGGATTAAAGGCATGCATCACCACTGCCCGGATTAATTCCAAGTCTTAATCCAGACATTATGTAGCACTTCACAGGGATGCCATGCAAAACATAGAACTGTTAATCTCTGGAAGCTCTGGATGCAGGTCAACCTGACTGTCAGGAGAGTGAGAAATGGGTGAGGATGTGACCAGGTCAACACCATCTTATCTTGGATGCACAGAGGAAGGTGCTATGGTAAGGGAGCTCTTAGTACTCTGTCATCTCCTGCAGTCCCGGGGAAGTGCCATTCTTACCTCCATGTCCCAGGAAAACTGCTCTGGGGAGTTTACACAGATTTCTGAGCTGATGACATTATGAAGAGTAAAGGGAGAGGAGTTGGCTAACATTTGGGTGTGCAGAGAAGCCATGCCGAGTACCAGAGAGAGAAATGGAACTTTGAACTCATTGGTTCTATAAACTCCATTTGCTATCTACAGGAACTGGGTTCATTTATAACCTAGTCCCTTGGTCCCTAGCAGCATGGAGTTTCTGTCAGAACAACCTCCTTTCATACTAAATACAAACTCATGCTCAATTTTATTCCCTCTGCCCTGTGTTCCATACATACATGTATACACACACACACACACACACACACTCCAAGAAGCCTAGGATAAACAGCTTTTGGTTCAAGAGAGCATAATAGCAAGATTATCTTTATAGTAGAGTTAAAGGAGATAGGAAGTAGACCTTAAGTCTGTATACCCAAACCAGGTGGTGGTGGCAGCACACATCTTTAACCCCAACCTCTGGGAGGCAGAGACAGGTAGATCTCTGAGTTCAAGGCCAGCCTAATCTACAGAGCGAGTTGCAGGACAGCCAGGGCTACACATAGAAACCATGTCTTGAACATAAAAAAATCTGTATATCCATGTCTAATCAAGTATTGAGTGAGCCACTCTTTCAACCTGGAATGAAGCTCACTGGGGCTCCTAGCTGTCACCATGAAAAACATCATGGGTGATATTTCCTTATATTACAGCGTCCCATGAAAACAGCAACCCATCAGAATATATGACACACAATAAAGAGAACTTTACTAAGCATTGGTTAGGTACCAGGCATGGAGCTGCATTCTCTGTGCTGGGGATATAGCTCAGTGTATAGAATCCTTGCTCAGAAGTAAAAATGCCTAGGTTCAGTCCCCAGCACTGTGTAAAATAGTTGTAGTGGTGCATGCCTACAGTATCAGCACCTATGAGGTGCAAGGGGATTAGAAGTTCAAGGTCATCCTTGACTACATCACAAGCTCAAGGCTAACCCTGGTTACATGAAAACCCACCTCAACCATCCCACCCCTTAAAAACATTAATCCTTACAATGACCCTTAGAGACAGGCAGTTATGGCAACTTTACAGATGGGAAAAATCAAAGATGAAGAACAATCAGCCAGCACATGGCTGCACAGCAGTGTGAATCTAGGTCCATCCGGCTCCACACATACACTTCCCAGACCTGCCTGTGACCACCTACTTCTGTACACGGGCTGACAAAGCACACTCCACCTCCCGCCTTCTTTAATCTCATCTGGTACCGTTGCCCTAATTTTGCCAGCTGCATGTTTATTTTTAAAAGAGAAGGCAGCATTCCCTCTGGAGATGGATCGAGAGTTCAAGACATGACTTCAAAGACAGGCAAGAGGTCACAGAGAAGGAGCAGCCTCACTTGCCTTTCATATCGGGTACATAGGCATTTCATTTCCTTAACTCCACTGCAACCGTTGAGAAACCACCATTGTATTTGCTGAAGTAATTCCAGCCACTGTACAAATGACTCCCACGTTTCATTATTTTAACCTCTAAGACATTTACTTCTCACTTACATAACTGTTGAACACAGACTTGCAAAAAGCTGGGAGTTAAAGACTTAAGGAGCACCTCCCAGGGACCTAAGAAGCACAACATTCTTCGCTCTGAAGTGGAAGAAACCTCCATGGTGCCTCCTAGCCCACACCTGGTATGCCACACCCCACCAAGGGTAGCTGTCTGCCAAGGCCACTGGGAACAGTCAAGGCTCATCTCTCAGCCCCTGTGGAACTTACTCCTTTCCCAACATCTGTCACAGAGCTTTTGTATTTCTGACTACAAGGGAGAATTGAAGTCAGAAGTGACATCTAAGGGTTCAAGAGGTAGATTACAGTGGGTCTCATTGTTACTCACCAGTGGTGTCCATGGGCAATTTACTAAGCCCACATATGGGGTCCTCTGAGAATTCCACCAGGAGCTGAGGAAATGAGGCATAGTTCCCCTGGCTCTTTCTCAAGTGGCTTGTAGGTCTTGATGTCTCCCATAGGGATTAATTTTGATGCCAGAAAAAGAGAGGCTTAGCTTCTATAGCCCAGGGGCAGAGACACACTCAGGACCTGTAAATTAGGGGATCCTACTCTATCACTGAATATAACTAGTACCTTTCATGCTTGAAGTCTCCTTTAAGCACCATTCCCTCAACGAAGGCAACCCCTTGTCTACAGACCTGGGATGCAGCCTCTCTTCCTCTCCAGGTGCCTGCAAGTTTTACATGTTTACTCCATCACAATTGCCTGTCAAGAACAGAGGTACCCACATTGGACAGTGCTCTCTTTTGTTCTCAGGGTGCCTATGTGGGGGAGAAGCTGACTATACTAGGAGAACAGAGGAAAGTTCTCTGCCTGGAGCCCACATGTCCTTGGTCAATGACCCCTGCTTGCTTCCTGGTGTTCCCATCCCTAGCAGCTCTAGTCTCCTGCAAGATGAATGAGCACCTCTCCTATGCATCCTGGTAGCTCATTCTCTGGGGACAAAGCTCATGGCTATGCACTTTAATGACTCACACTCCAATACCTCTCTTGGGCCAGTGAGATGGCTCAGTGAGATGGCTCAGTGGGTTAAGGTACTTGTTTCCAAGTTTGACAACCCAAAATCCATCTCTAGGGCCTACCTGGCAGAAGGAGCAAACCAACTACAAAAGCTGCTCTCTGGTCTCCACACATTTGCCTTTGCACGTACACCACCAGTAAGTAAATAAACACATACATTTATTTTAAAAACCTTCTGTTTTGCAGTGTCTATAAGAGCTAAAAAGAAAGTGGCCTCATCACTCTCCCTGGGGAGTGGATCGGGGATGGGATGGAGGGTTGGTGGCGGTATGGGAGGATGGGAGAGAGAGGGAACTGGGATTGATATGTAAAATATGTAAAATATATATGTGGCCTGTCACTCATATGGGTGTTTCATGTGTCTACATTGTATGGGATCCTCAGAAATGCTGCTCAGTCAAAATTAGCTTGGGGAGAATGCTGAAATAAATGAGTCAATAAGCAAAGATAAGCAGAAGAGCAAGTGAGAAGTGACAGGGAAGTACGTGGACGAGGGAAAAGTAGCAGGATGGTGGCCAGTATGCATTCTTCCTTTGAAAATAAAAACCTACTTAGTTAGGCACATAATAAAAAGAATATATTTATTACCCTCCTCTGAAACTGACCATGTCCAAAGCCCTGTGACTAAACCATACATGAGAAGCAGTGCTTGGGAGACCTCAAAGAGAACCCGAAAGAGCCCTGGGTGTTCTGTTGACCCTTGCCTTGCTCCACATTTTTGTGGCATGTGTTTGAGTTTGGCAACCACAATGCATAATGAGGCAACTTCTGGAACAGTTAAGAAGAAAGATGGGGTAAGTCTAAGCTTCTGTTCACCACGGTGCTACACCCTTCGCTGTCTTTTTTTGGACTTGCTGTATGAAAAGAAGAAAGACATTTGCTTTCCATAGGTTTTTTCCCCATTTCATTATTTTTATCAAATAAACCTGAACCTGACGCTAACCAACATAAGGCTCGTACATTGGGGCCAGAGCAGTCCTAAAACTCAACTCATAGTTCCCTCTCTGTCTCACACAGATGCCCACTGAATGCTAGCCCAAAGCTGTAGCACAGAGTTAGAGAATCCTGATCCTTTTAAAAGATATTAAAAATGAGGGATGATCCCTGATCCAAACAAATATCCTAAGCTGGTGGAAAGAATATACTGGACCTCAGATTTTGTGCAAGTCCCAACAGTCCTGGGAAATGTCACCAGGGGCAGTGCTGGTGACAGAAGAGTCCGGTGTATTCATGCTGTTAACAGCTTTGTATTTCAGCAGCACAGCGTGCATTCCAGAGTGGGACATGTGGCGGTACATCTTACCTCCATCAGAGAGTGCCAGTGTGCAATGGGCTTCCGAGGATATGACAGCATCTCACTCCAGTGGTCTCTGCCCAGCCGCTCAGCCTCGTTGCCTACTTGACACACGCCAATGACCTCATTGTGACCTACACTGTGAAAATGGGCCACAGTAGTTTTTTCTTAAAATTTTGGTATGCGGAAGTAAAAGTAACAACTCAAATGAATGGAGGAAACTCAGAAGTAGTAGACTATTATTTTTTAAAATAATTCCCCCATTTAAAACTACAGTCCAGGCTAAACAGCAGAAAGACCTAGATTTCAATACTGTACCCAGCTCTCTAACACTGACATGGGTTCATTTGGTCCTGAGAACCTTGGCTCAAAGAACTCCCTGATGTGTGCTAATGATATCACTTCTAGCTCTGGAGGCTAAGGCAGCTTCCAAATACATGGAATGGAAAGGAAACCCTCAGGAAGGAGTGTGTGATGTAACACCCACTCAGATTTCCACAAGAGGCAACCAATGATGTCAGGTAGAGCCCAGTGAGGAGAGCTACGGGGTCTTCTTGTTCCATGCTTCATTAGAGACCACCACCATCATCCTTTCCATAACTTTCTTTCTGCACTCCACTTTGGTTCTCTGAGTCAACTTGAGTTCTCAACTGTGAAAGGCACCCACCTCCTTCAACTTAGGGCTAACAGCCTGAAATTTTTTTTTGTGAGAAGGTCTTGCTTTGTGTCATTTTACTTTTTCCTTAACAACAATAATAAATAGTCCCTTGAAATAATTATAAGTATGTGGCCCATATTTATAATTATTTGACTCTTTTGGATGAGTTCTTTTTTTCTCCTAGAAAAGATGAGTGGTTTCTATTCTGTTTGTGTGGGGAGAAGGAGAAGGGATGAGGATGGAGTGTTTGGGATATTTAAGTCTGTGCTCATTAAAATCAAATGAATGCAGAGGCCCCGTGGATACTGCCATGGATTTTTCCAGGCCAGATACATGAGTTTACTGATAATTAAATTGAAGCAGAGATTGTATAATCAGATTTGTTGATGCAGGAGCCTTGGCAATTGCTTGGGAAGTGCTATCCTAGCCTCCCACAGCTGGTGGACAGCATCTCCTCCTGGGACCTGGTACAGTGATGTTGTGTGTGTCCAGAGAAGACAGGACAAGGTCTATGTCCAAGATGGGCTGTCACACTCATGGACAACTGTGTCAGAAGATAAAACGTGCTTTGTGTAGGGATCTATTGGAAAAGCATTGAGGTCACTGGTACCCCTGTGCTAACATTTCAGAGGTAGATGGAAAAATTTTAGGTACAAATAATATTTATGAGATATTAGAAGCCAGACCGACTTTTTTGTTTCATAATTGTGCCCAGACCACGTGGGAGGTTTCTAATTAAAAACAGACTTTGCATTTCAGTCTAATGACTGGTTTAACATGTATAATTCCCTGTTGGTACTTCCTTTGCATATTAAAATGACTGTTTTCAAATCTGTCCTTTAAATACACAATTGGCTACAATGCAGGCTATAAATATCTTCTCTGTGCTGTATTAATTAAAAAGTCTAGCATCTTATACATTTTAATGTACCCTGTCATCTATACTGATCCTAGCATTTTCAAGAGAACATTTCTGTGTTTGCTTTCAGACTTAAGTGGATGGAAATGATCTTTATTAAACACAGTGCAAGAAGGGAAAAAAAGATTGAAGTTATATATTTAGAAACATTCATGGTGTGGCTAAAGTAATCATTCTGTGTTTTGGATAGAAGCTTTCTATTAAGGGAGTCAGGCTGCTCAATGGAAAACAAGACCCGTGGGGCCATAGTCTGACATACAGAGATACCAGGAAGTGTACAGAAATGGGAATGGGAAGAAGTGGGACAGTGGGATGTGGGAGGGTGGAGGAGTAAAAGGATAGGAAAAGGGGAAGAGAGATGAAGACATCAGAAGTACTGCAGTGAGAGGGCTCTATAGCATGGTTTGGACAAGGTGACTCCCTGTCATCCTGTCTTCCACGTGCTTCCCCTTTGGTCACTCTGTGTCAGGTGAGCATATGGCTGCTCCCTAATCTGCCCACCCTGCCTAGAAAACAGTGAGACTGCACAGAGAGAGAGAGAGAGAGAGAGAGAGAGAGAGAGAGAGAGAGAGAGAGAGAGAGAGAGAGAGCGCTCATGGCATCTCACCGGTCATAGTCCATGACAGCTATGGACAGGTGAATCTGGTCGATGCTTTCAGGAGGGACGTCAAAGACTATGGCTTCATTGTAAACGGGATTAAGCGTGTTCCTCTTGGTGGATGTTTTCCTTTTCTTCAGTCGCCGGCCATCACACATCAGTGAGACTTTCACGTAGGGATCTGCACAGGCATGAGAACAGGGCACCGTGAGGACAAATGCAGATGCTGGGCGTTTTCGACCATGGAGGAAGACCTCCTTCCTCTGTCTGGAGACTAGAGTTTGAGGATTTTAATTCATGTGACATGTGATGTGGGCAGCAACTGCTTAGAATGATTAAGTTATTCATTCAAGAAAAAACACAGGACACTGTCTCCTCAAAATTCATGAAATTTAAAAATAGGGTGAAAACATCTGTTGCCAAATTAGAAAATATTCTAACCAGAATTCAGAACCCGTCTGTCTATGAAAGGAAGAGAAACAGAGACATTTCCCAGGAGTGGGAGACAGAACTCAGCACCCTAACTCTGGGCCACCCATGGAGATTGGGCTGCTAAGAAACAGCCTGGAGTGTGGAACATAGAATGTATCAACATCTTGGAGTAGACATCAGTCAGTAACAACTTGGCCATGTAAGCATGAGACTTGAGTTAAATCCTATCTTCCATTAATACACCTAGACATGGGTGACATGTACTTGTAATCCCAGTGTAAGAGAAGTAGAGATAAGAGCATCCCTGGTGTTTGCCACCCAGTCACAGCCTAACCAGTGAGCTCAGGTCTCAATGATAGAATTTTTCTTAAAAATCAAAGTCAAGGATGACATTTACTCCAAAATGTCGATATATTTTATGTTCTATACTCCAGGATGTTTCTAAGCCAGAAAAATGATATAGCTCCTGTGGTTTAAAGTACCTTCTAGAAGGGGTGAAAAGTCAGGGTGGTTAGGCAGAGAGATACAGGATTCCCTTTTGAACTCGACAGTAGTGATTTGCTAGTGGGTAATGACTCCTGAGGAGTAACACATGAGATCGACCTTTATGTGCACATGCATACACATGTGCACACACACACACTCTAGCAATAACAAAAGAATATGTTGCATCTCAGGCTCTTTGAGGTCAGTCAGTCTGTGTACCAGTGGTCTGTGCATTAGGTAAATAAATGCTTGATTCACTGGGGAAAAAACAAGCTTAGTTCACTTTTATAAGGAGTCAGAATTGTCTCCAGGCTTCAATGAGCTTAAGATAGTGAAGCCTGAGGAAAGGACTAACTGGGTAGACCCAGTTAGAATATGCAATCTGTGTGTTGAATCCCAGTTATGGGAAAGCAAAGGCTCAATATTCAATTAACATCATGTAGTAACTTATACAACACATCATATACATATTAACTCAGTGAATCATACAACAACTCAATGGGCCAGATACTCATCTTACTCTTACTTTACAGATGGGAATTTGAGGTCTAGAGTGGCTAAGTGACTTGTCCAAGGTCACACAGCACTTAGATGAGGTAGGAATTGTGATTAAACTTAGGCAACTTGGTTCCAGACCCAATGTACCATAATAGGAACTTCATAATATGCTGAATGAGAACCAGATGAGGAACTTAAGAACGTCTCACCTGATGCTCCTGTTATGTCCATTGCCTTTAAATTCCTTGCTTTTATAATGGTGATGGTCAGCCTGCCAGCCGTTGGAAGATAGCAGAGTGAAAACATAAGTTCTCCCAGATCCACATTGTCCTGTTGAGAAAGCACAAATAGAAGCATTGACAAGTGTCCTCAGGCCATGTGCAGCCAGCAGCAGGGAGGTGTTAGGAAGGACACCCTGCTCCTCCTCTTCAGCTTATGAGGTCCTAATGGCACACACAAATTCCATCCCTGAACTGGATACCTCAATGCTGAAGGAAGCACAACTCATGTTTAAGACAGTAGAGCTGAAGAGGTTGTCCACAGGAAGCCACCACACACCCAGCCCACATGTACAGTCTTACACATGTTCCCAGAGTCCAGAATGCAGTATTCCCAGAGTGCCCCTCCCTGTTGCTCTACTCACATGGCTGTTGCAATTCAGAGAGAGCTCTTAGCACAAAGTCATGCAAACAAGAGCCTAACAGGGCTGCTCCCCCTAGCAGAGCTCAGGGACTCTGTCTGCAACCTTCTCAGCTTCCTGCGGCCTCTCCTCTACACACAGCAGGCAAATGAGCCACACTTTCCCCACAACTCAGGTATAACCCAGTCTCCCCACATTCTACATTGCCATTTGTACCCTTCATAGTGCAAACCACCTCTGTAGATCAGTAGCATGTGGTTCCATCAGATCATGGGATCTTCTAGCCCCTAATTAACTTTGGACAAGGATACTGCATGTGCATGGTAGTGGTAGTCTCTGACCTCATGTTCCCACATAACTTGACACACAAGGACACAAACCTAGTCTTGCACAATACCCATACAGAACCCAGACTTTAGGGAGCCCTGATGTCTGCTCCTTGAGGTGCCATTTAGTCACGTCCCATCTTGAGTATACCTCCAGGAGCTCCATTCCCTCTACTGGGATCCTAAGGAAGACATCTCCTTGGGCAATGTGCAGGCAACCCAAATAGGTCAGAAGATATGAATCTCTGCCCTGTCTCTCCCCCTTTTAAAGCCCGGGAGAGTGTAACTAGGAAGAGGAAAACAGCCAGTTCATTTAGTTTCAATTTCTGTGAGACACCTGAGGTTATGGATCTGGGTGCCCATGTCTAATTAATACAGTTTCATACTGACAATGCTCTGGGGACTAGGTTCTGTCCCTCAACGTCCACAGCCTCCCCTCCCCTTCTGGATTCTTGGAGGATGCTTCTATTTTTAGAAGCACAGATTCAGCTTTGGAAGGTCACCTTGCCAACCTCCTGCCTTGACTGCTTCCATAGGAGGAGGAGGAGGAGGTAAAGGATCTGTTTGGTAGCTAAGGCAGATGGATTGGTCTGTGTCTTAGAGCACTGCCTGGCTCATGCAAAAGAATCACCTCACCTTGCAGCCCAAGCTGTCCTGGCTTCTGGAGCCTTGACCTCAGGGGACCTGGTGGCCAGACCTTTCCCTGTGGGGAGAGGCTGGGGAGCATTGCACAGGAGTGAGGTTTCACACATGGTAGGTTCTTGCTGCTGTGAGGCGCTGTGCTCTCTTCTGTAGGAGCCTAACCCCCTCTTTGCTTGTCATTTCCAAGTCTCCTCTGTGTCCTTGATTTCTGGCCTCCCTTTCCACAGCACCTTGCTCTCTTGTCCTACCCCATCTTGCCCACAGAATCTCAGTTTGAAAAAGTAATTCTAGAACTGGCCAAAATCATGTCCACAAAGGCTCCACAGTCAACTATATAAGCATGTATTTACTGGGGGTTCACAATGTGTACCACACTCTGAAAGATTTGCAATGTGAAACACACTCATACTTTTGTCTCTCCAGGAGTGTAGTTAAATGTGAAGTGTCAGATTCCTTCTGTATTAGTCTGTACTAAGTAGGTGGTGGTATTTCCCCTCCACTATGAGTTCCATTCATAAATATTTCTATTGTAAAGCTATATACTCATTATTTAAAAGGAAAAATAACAACAACCAAATTATAAGACTAAACCCATAATTGTATCTTTAAAAACATATAAGTTAAACAAATAATTATCAAAGTAAACTGATGGGGAAGTCCTGTGTATAAGTAAATAAAGCACTGTTGGCCAATAGCAAGATAGGTGGGACTAGGAGTCTAGGAGGATTATGGGAAACGTAGTGAGGGCAGCTGTCGCTATGTGATTCCCAGGAAGAGGGGACGCAAGTCTGTGTTCCCGGAAAAGATAAGTCCTTATAGAAATATATATTGGTGATTATGGGTCAACAATTAAGTCAGAGATAGCCAATGAGAAACAATAGCAAATGGCCAATAGCTTCATAATTAATATAGTGTTCCATGTGTTATTTGGGGCCTGAAACTGCAGCAGGGCCCAGGCGGCGGGCTGGAAAACTACATGTTACATATGGTGTCAGAAGTGAGATCATGAATTTCCACGTGGAATGACAAAAGCATAAAAGGTATTTTTATAAACAAAAGAACAGAGAGAAGCATGGCTTCTTGGTAGTAGCATTTTCTCAGTGGGCTCTGTTTTGCTAGAGACAAGCAGAGACTTCTATGGCCAGTGCAGTAAACTTATGCCTGCCATCTTGGAAAAACCGCTGTTTAAACAGCTGTGGTTTTTAGCAGATAAGACACATGTCCAGAAAAACATAAAGATTTACAGTAAAGTCAGATTCAGATGAAGAGAAACCTCTAAAGGTTACAGTGGGTTTAACAATTACGTAGGCTTGAGAGAGAAAAAGAAACAGGATAGTGATAAAAGAAATAGAGAAGCTGGTTTGTGGTAGCACATGCTGGTAGGATTTGCTCCAGAGGCAGAGGCAGAGGCAGGAGGGTTTCCAGAGAAACCCTGTCTCAGAGAAAGAAAGAAATAAATAAAAGTAAAAGAAATAGAGTAATAATAATAGATAAATAAATAACCCGCATACAGATGGAAAATATACAGAGAGTCTGGATACTGTATGCTATTGTGTTTTTCAGTTTTTTGATTGCTAAAGAAGGAACAACTGCTAAGGTACACTTGATTATAAATGCTATTAAATTAATCCAACTTATATATTTTAAAAATGCTTTGACTTCTAAATTTAAATATAAGGACAGGCTACTTGGAAAAGGAGTTTTTATTTATGTTTCCACAGAAAATGGAAAGCTGTGGATTCCTTCCAGGCGTCTATGGTTTGATGAAGCAAGACCTCCTGAAGCAATGTCCCAGGCAATCCAGAATCTGAAACATCTGGGATGATACAGCCATACAGTCCACAAAAACAAGAACAAGGTTTCTGAGTTTTGTCATGATCCCCATGGTATGGACAGCACCCCCTATCAGCAGGAAGCAGTTTGGAATGAGCAACATCCAAATTCCCAAATATTGTTTATAAATCTTTGTTTTCACTTAAATGTTGCTTATAATTGTTTAATGATCATAACCATTCTCTTTTTAAAGGCAAAAAGGGATTATGGTATGGAAATGAATACTTTGTATTGGTATGTTTTTTCATTTATTGATACAAATTCAAGGTCAATTTTGTGATATGTTTCTCTTCTTGTTTAAGTATTGTGTTTATACTGATCATTTAAAATGTAATGCATAATTAAATACAGATTATAGATACTTATAATAGTCAGAATTTATAGTTAGGCTAGTTAGGTTTTATAGATATAGAGATATATTTGAGATAGATAGATAGTCTTCAAACCTTTCAAAGACCTTCAGAAAATGGCATTTAAAATGGTTTAGGGTTTTTCTTCACAATGAGAAATATCTGCTCCTGGCATATCAATTACGTCTGAGAGGAAGATGGGCATCGAAGAAACTCATTATGGAGTTTGCTTTCAACATGGCAAGATTAGCCATTTGGGCAAGAAACTGCTCTTGCCTGGACTGCTTGACTATTGCTGCATAAACTGGACATGCAGGACCCACAGGAAAGTGACTGATGAACTCAAACAGTCCTACAAGTTCCTGCTTCATGGAAGAGTCTGACAGACTTTCTGCAGGACACAGAAAAGTGACTGACAGACTGCCAATGCAGATGAACAGTTTGAAATTTCCTGCTTTGGTGAGAAGTGTTCCGGACATATTGTGGCTATGGGCTGATGATGGATGCCCCAACATTACAGAGGAATTTCTGGTGACTGTCCAAGTAGCGAGATGTCTCTGTCAATTCTAGTGTTTATATATTACCCTTCTGTGGTCTTTGATGGAATTGAAGACAGATAGTTGTAGTTATAGTTTTCCTTAGTTATGATAAAAGATAAGCTACATATGAGACTTTAGACGCGCAAAGATAGAATAGATGATATTTTCTTTAAATCTTACTAAATGTTAATGGACTAAATATTGTAATTATAGTTCTTACTTGATAACTGTTCTGTTATATATAATTTGACTATGTTAAAGTTAAAACCTTTGTTTTTATTTAGACAGAAAAGAGGAGATGATGGGGAATTCCTGTGTATATATAAATAAAGCACTGTTGGCCAATAGGGAAGCAAGATAGGTGAGATTCTGGGAAATGTAGTGAAGGCAAATGTCACCATGTGATTCCCAGGAAGAGGGGACACAAGTCTGCGTTCTCAGAAAAATAAGTCCTTATAGAAATATATATTGGTGATTATGGGTCAATAATTTAGTCAGAGATAGCCAATTAGAAACAATAGCAAATGGCCAACACCTTCATAATTAATATAGTGTCCTGTGTGTTATTTGGGGGCTGAAACTGTAGCAGGGCCCAGGTGGCGGGCATGAAAACTACAGTGGACATTCTTTTTTATTAATTTTTTCTATTTATTTTACAAACCAACTATAGTTCCCCACCTCCTCTCCTCCTACCTCTCCCACTTCCACTTCTCCTCAGTATCCATTCAGAATGGGGCAGGCCTCCTCCATGGGAGTCAACAAAGCATGGCCCAAAGTAAACATCCTTGACCCTCAACTGATTTAAAAAGAAATTTTGTGTGTGTGGGATGTGACTCAGTTGATATAGTGCTTATCCAGCATGCAACAAATAAACCAGGGATAGTGGCATACTACCAGCACTTGGGAAGTAGAGGCAGGAGGATCAGAAGTTCAAGGTTTTTCTTGGCTACATCAAAGTTCAAAGGCAGATGAGGCTACATGAGACTGTGCAGAAATAAAA